AAAGAGAGAGAGAGAGAGAGAGAGAGAGAGAGAGAGAGAGAGAGAGCCTCGCGTTCACGGGGGAGTTGTAAATGTATCTTAACGAGCCACACGCGAGCGCCGCCGGGGAGGAGTGAGAGAGTTAAAGCGGCCTGAAAATCTGCAAACATCGCGGAGCCGCGTGATGCACCGCACGAATCCTTCTCCGATCTGATCGAGCGAACGATCGCGGCATCCAGCCCAGAATAAATTGAGATAAAATCGGCCGAGGATCGTGCGGAGGAGCTTCCTCCGTTGCCGCTGGATAACGACGCAACGAGCGCTCTCGCGCGACTCCCTATCGTCTCGCGAGATCTGTTCCCTTTCGCAGTCGGAAGCGATGTTTCACTCCTGCATCCAGATTATGCTGGATAATTAGCCGGCCGCGTTCACCACGTGGATGCGGCGAGTACGTAACAATTAGTACGTAAAACGTAGACGATTATTTTATACGCTCGCGCGTGCGTGCCCGAGTGCATTTCAGACGTGCAAAGCCAGGGAATTTCGAACATTGAATTATCCAAAGTGCGTCTCTCTCTTTCCCTTTTGTACTGTAAAAGTAGGGAAGACTATATGGCCCTAGGAATATGTTGCTCATGTGCTTTTTTTAAAGAGTTATCTGGAAAAGATAACAAAATCGCGAAATGTTCTTTTAAAATATAAGTACTTTTCCCTAAATTTCATGAAAATCGGAATAATATTGCAGTTAAGAAGTAGAAATAATAATGATTTTATAATAGCAAAGTAAATTTTCGAGCTTCCTGAAATTTCTATTAATATTCTCCATCATGACTGAATAAAATTAAGCGATGTATTATTAGTTAGAATGAAATTTCTTGCAATGATATAATACTTCTGATAATAAATGCAATTTTCATTCATAAAATGATTGAAATAGAGCATATAAGGGGACGAGATAATGTTGGTCTATATCTAAGATCCGGCAGGAGGCCACGTGAGTCCGTTTTGATTTATTATACGAATCCATTCATGATTTATTATATGAATAAGCAAGTGATCCCTCTTAACATTTATATCACTAATGATATATAATGATATGTTTGACGCGACGGTGTTGCACTTTCTAAATGACGTGACGCTCTGGAGCGAGTTTCTATGCTTTATTACATATGCAAAGCGGCGCGATTAATAGTAAAACGAGATTTCATCACGAATTTGATGGTTTTCGCTAAATCGCGGGATCGCGTGACATTCGCACTACCTATCCCTCACGTGCACAAAGTACTTGATCCACATAGTAAACTGTGCAGGTGAGAAGACCCATTATTTAAGTATCACGGAGAAATTCGGTCGGATTAACATGTGCTTAAGATCCGCATTAATAGTTGTCCAACTTGAAACTTGTTTCAAGATTTTCAAGTTTGAATGTAGAATTGAATGTAAGTTTTTCAGTGGAACAGGACGACTAGAAATGTAACGTCGCTGTACAATCGTACGGCTCACCTGACACATTTAGATCTAACTCTAGATTCGAATTTGAGTATCTCACGTGAGACAAATTTCAAGCAACGACTACTAACACAGGCCTAAGTGTATGTACGTCCACTGAGAGAAAAACGTTTGAAAGATACTTATCCGTTGGATACTAATAACATATTTAAGAATTGTTTCAACCTTCTCATAAGTTAATTAACAATTAAATCATATGTCTGTCCTCGTTTTCCTTTTAAATTAGACGAAGACAGTCGTATGATTTAACTGTTAATCTACCAATAGAATGAAAAAATCGGCCCTTTACTCAAATATAAATTCTCTCTTGTTTAAATAGAACAAGCAATCGCTCTCGTGAAAAGCAACGAATTTTAAGAAGATATAAATTTTCTCATTTGAGAAAAATATTTCTTCTCAGTGAAAAATTATTTAATGTAACATTAATTCAAGTAAATATGTTATTAACACACCCATCGAATAAATATTTTTCATTTCTCAGTTTTTTTTTCACTCAGTACACGTATAGTACATACATTTGCGTACGTTATGGAATCGTAATTGCAATATCTACGGTCGCGGATAAAAAAAAGTATTACAAAGAATGTCTCTTTCCGGCGGAGAATCGGAAATGTTTGGGAGGAAAGTTTCCGTGTAGCTGCGCGAACGGCACAGACGTAACTGTTTAAGGATTCCAAAATATTTTATCTTGGCTGCATACATCGGGCTGCTCTTGTCGTAAACTTCAAAAGTAAGTTGAAGGGAAGCGGAGTTGACAAGTGGCCGGAAATTGACACGCAACCGGCGATGGCAAACAACGCTGTTTATGTCGTATCGTGTTCGATATATTCGAAGATGCCTCCGCGCTTATCGCGGACGATGATACAGTCGCCACTCTCGCGCAAATGACGATTTATTCAGCTTATAATCTCGCGCGTCCGCGGATTACCGTGTATTATGGAGAAATTGCCGTGATGCTACGTAGATGTGAAGGACGAAATAATCAAAGCCGATGTTGCGTCTCGAGAATGAAGGATAAAACGCTTCTTAAGATCCCCCCGCGGGAGCTCGCATTGAACTCGCTATTTTAGAATGCCAGACGCGCCATTGATTCGCACCTGCCTTCTCTTCATACAGAAAAGCGCGGGCAGAAACGGCCGGCGAGCAATTAAAAATTGTAGGCGCCGTTAGATACCACCTCTCGCCCCTCTTTCGGCGATCGCACAAGGCACCGTATTTTTAGAATTATAATAGATTCGCGTGCGCATTGCTGCTGATTAACGGTTATTTCATAAAGCTGTCTCAATGTCTTGAGTACGGATCGCCTCTTACAGGACGCGTGGCCTACATTATAACATTCAAACACCGACAGACTCACCACCACCTTAAATATTTACGCTCATTGTTTTGACTCACCGAAATACCAGGAACTCAGGATCAGCCACGCTCTACTGCAAATTCTGAAATACCAAAAATATGATATATTGTTGACTGGATAGAAAACTTAACGGTTTAACGAGAAAAATAGAGACAAGTAGAGTGCATGAGCGTGTCAACCTTTCGCGATCGGTACAACAATTTACATTATGTCCCTTTTCCCGATCACAAACGCGTTAAAAAGAATATAATATGATTTTCTTAACCAGAAAATAATAAAATACAGTATGGCTTTTATTCTGGCATTAGCAATCAATTCTTGAACACGTTGATCTATGCGACATCATTAGCATCGTGATTCTTTGTCTGAAAAAATGCATTGAGGCAACGAATCGGTAGGTCAGTGCAACCAAGAGTTGATTCTTGAAGCCAGAAAGAAAAGCTATGCCACATTTTACTATTTTTCTAGTTGACATATATACTATTTTTTATGGTTGGCACAACCATTCTTTTTTTTCCGTGAAGTGTTAATAAATGTTAAAGTACAGGAAGTCTAGAAACGTACCTTCAAGCTGATCCTGCTCGACCTGAACCGGATCCTCCGGCACACCATCCACATGAACCAAAACTGCACCTTCCAGGAACTGCATTTATCGCCAGATCTGAAACAAGAAATAAGTTATCTGATTAGTTACAGGGGGGCGACAGGCGTCTAAGAACAGCGTTTAAGAATACAGAAACTCAGAACAGTACATTCAGAGAACAGAACATTTTTCTTTTAATTTAAAACAAAGAACAATAGAGATAAAGAGTGACGATTACCCTCGGAATTCGAGGATGTTGCTCAAGATGATGCTATCACGATAGTTGCGCGTGCGAAATAATGCAAAGCGTTTCGCATAAACGTTGAGCGATTCGGGAGATCGAAAATCACGCGCAACGTCTCCCAACCCCCTAGTGTCAAGGACTGTTATGATAGCTCGACAGCTGTGCTTATATACGTATGTTTTTGTTCCTGAGACCACGTGACCTTAAGTCGATAAGACTGTTAAATATCGTTATGTACGATAATAATAAAGAAATTGATGAGGTATGATTTAGAAGATTTCGACAACTCTTTCCCCTCTCTCTCTCTCTCTCTCTCTCTCTCTCTCTATATATATATATATATATATATATATATATATATATATATATAACATATATGTATATGTTTTTTTATATTAAAAATTCAAACACTTAGAAAAGATGGATAAATAACTAATTGCGATATTGCACATGTTTTGTAACCAATAAATGACAGAGACAAAATTTCTATCTAAACTACTTGTGAAATTAAGCAATTTCTTTGGCATAGAATACACTCAAGAAAGCATTGTTACGTCATCTATATTTATTAATTCCCTATATTCTACGTTGAAAGTTTAAACATTCGTGTTTGAAGACCAAAACAATAAGAATGTGTCTAGAATTAGGTGCATGTCCGGGAATTGATAGTCTCACTTTTCTTAACTCTGATTTCGCGCGAGAGCTTGCCTTATAATCGATCTAATGTCAAGACTCTTTATTTTGTTAGGATGCCAATTTCACCCGGTCGGCGAGTATCTGAAATTTGTCAGGGTACCGGAGAATCTTGAGACAGGGACGGAAATCCTCTCGCTGGAGGCCCATCCCAGAAATCGACTTGCCATTTTGCCAGTTGACAAGGTATTGCTCCAACTTTCTACTGACATTGACGATCGAGGACCGCCGAAACGGACCCTCTTCCTTCATGAGACACAGAAATACAGACGGTAAATTTCATTTTGCAGGAAGAAGACGCCGGTTTCTTTGCCTATAAGGAGACGAACAAGACGCACGTTTCCCTGATCCTAGCTCAGTCCCTGGAGGACCTGGTAGACGCGGAAGCCCCGAGGAACCTGTTGAAGTTTCGGATCTCCTGCGAATCGGGCAGCGGCGACTCGCTGGTGAATTTGCAAATCCCGATATTTTGCCGGTCGTTGATCCGCGCGAGTTCTCGCACGCGACGGAACTCAAGCGAATCCGAAATACTCGGAAGGGGAGGGAAACTCGATTTCGGTCGCGCTTGCTAATTTATTCGGGTTCCGCTCCGTGAGTTCGAATTGCCGGAGTGTCACTGGTTGCCCTTTGAACGACTGTCGTTCAAACGCGTCGACTTTTTCTCGGACTTCTGACTCTTGAGTTCGACACCGCGGATGCAATCAGAGCGTGCGACGACCGGTTTGACACGAGGCGCGAAAAAACGGTGATTTTTTCCCCACCCTCTCTCGCCTACACGTAATACTTAACGTGTTTATGTAACTCGTTACTCCCGCGTGGAAATACTGAAGTCCGGTGATAGTCATTAATACGCGTAATAACGCGTTCGTGTTTGATTTCGTTTCCTCCTTTGCGCACTTTGCGTCGATGTGTCGTACGCGACGCGAATCGCAGCTAACGTTTCTCTCTCTCTCTCTCTTTCTCTTTCTCTCTCTCTATGATCCACTTGCCGCTTTTCAATAATTCAGCGCATCCCCAAGACGCTCTGGAAGATCTTCGGCGACCGGATCATCGTCGTAACGATCCCGGCCAACGACGGCCTCGCGTCGTCGTCGAGTCGAAAGCGCTGATCGATGGCGAGACCCTCGTCGTCCGCCGCAATGTACTATTTACCCGGCTGAATTACGATGATTACGGCTCGTGTGAACCTCTGCGGCTACTCTTAACCCGCTATCGATCCTTTCGACGACGAGCGTGCACGCGCCTAAATAAATGCCGTTCCACCGAGACGCCCGGAGTACGCAAAGTATCGCCTGCCCGGGAGAGTATTGTCGGGCTTTCTTTCTTTCTTCCTTCATTCGTTTCTCAAACGCGATAGTTTCCTCTACCCTCTTTACCTTCTTTACGATTTACGCAACTATAGAGATTACCTAAGTGTATCATGATAATTTAACATGAATTAGAAACAGGAATAGATAAAGCCCGTTGTACTAAGGGGATGCTGAATACCGACACAATGCAGTTTCGCAGTTCGCACTGTCTTTCTATTTGGTTGCATAGAATTGCAAATGCTTTTTGCAGAGTGCACAGAGTGAAAGTACAAATATCAATGCGTGAAAAAACGTCGAATACTGTGTGAGCAAAAAAGATTTCGTGAAAAATAATTATTTAATTTTTAACTAAGAATCTCTAAATAAAATTATTTAATTATTTAATTCTTAAATAAAAAAAATTAATAAATTTTAAATAAAAATTTTAATTTGTGTGTGTGTGTACAAAAGAGTTAATTAAAAGAGTTAATTAAAAACATGATCTTATGTCTCTTACAAAAGAGTTTAATTAAAAACATGATCTTATGTTTCTCCATGCATTGACGTTTATGCTTTCACTCTGTAGAGATATTTGCAATTCTTTGCAATCAAGTAGAAAAGCAATGTAAATTACGAAACTGCGTTATGTCGGTATCCAGCATCCTCTTAAGGATATGCCAAGTGAATGGAAAACTCTAAAAATGTTGATTGAGGCGATCGTCATTAACATGATCACGCCATCATTTTCATATTTCTTATACAATACATATGGATTTTATACAAATGTGTTCTGTTTTGTTTTAGCATATTTAGCAGAAAAAACATAACCAAATATTTTTCGTATACCTTCAAATTCATTTATAAAGATACAATAGTGTTCTCTAAGATTTTAAGCGGAAAGTAAACAGTCCTTACTTGAAACTCTTCTTAAGTGAGATGCTCAGATTTAAAGTCAGATGAGAGATTTCCAGTTGAATCGCGATTCAACTGATATACTGTCATGAACTGAAAATTTGTGGGGCAACTCTGAGTAAAAATCTGAGTGTCTCACGTGAGACAAGAGTTTCAAGTGCCAATTGCCAGACTGAGAGAGGACGGTGGTGGGCAGGAAGAGACGGAAGGATCCAGTGCGACTGTGTGACTTATGTTTCGCCGTTTATGCCCAGGTATCGTCGCATTTGTCAGTGACGGTCTACGTGGAGGATATAAACGATCACGCGCCACAATTTGTCGATGCGCCTTATCATGTGACGGTGGACGAGCTCACGCCAGTCGGTGAGATATAGCGAACATATATAGCGATATCATAAATTGCGCGGCGCACCTGTGAATTTCGGTTAATTAATATCCTGCTCGCTTCACGCACACGTGTCTCGCGTAATTCGCGCTCGCGAAAACGCAATACCGGGCCGCTCGTTGCTTTCGCACACGTTTTTCACAGTTCTCTAACATACACTTTATTTTTACTTTCCTTGCCGACCAATCGTGCGGCTTTTTGCCGTTATCCAACGTCAATTCCTCTATCAATCGTGCAATTCTCCCTTAGCGCGTCAAGACATTAAAAAGCGACTTCTAGGACTGATGCAGCAAAATCGTATGGCGGCTCAGAAAAATTCAACTCTCTCGCGAATTCCATAACCGGTAGAGTCAGAGACTTGCGTTTATCAGAAACGTGTTCTAACGATCAATCGTGCGCTGTGCGGTGCGTTTACATTGAGCGGAAAAAGCCCAATCGCGTTGCAAGTCTTCCGCCGTTCTGTCTCCTTAATCGGCGATTCTGGAGTACAATTCTCGCGCATGTCGCGGTTCAAGGGTCAAGATGAAGTGTAAGGACGCGAGATATAATGCCGCAGGTGTGACGATATTTCGCGGGATTCACGCTGTGGATGGCGACAAGCCGAACACGCCGAACAGCGACGTCTATTATGCCATTGTGAAGGGGAACGAGCAGGGCAAGTTTTCCCTCGAGTCCGGCCACAGAACCGCCCTGATACTGCGCAAACCGGTCGACTACGACAGCGGGGATCGCGAGTTCACTTTGGTCATTACGGCGACTGTGAGTACACGCGCTTGAGGAACGAAGCGACGATGTAACGTCGCTGTAAAGAACAATGAAACGAAATGCGAGTAAAAAGTCCACCTGCCTGCGGAAGCCAATAAATCTATAAAGGAGCAATTGGCTCAGCAACTTTGTCCGACACGCTCCGCGTGTGCCGCCGTTTAATTTCATTTCGCTTCGCAATGTATACACTAAAGTCGAAAGTCGTAATCTCACGTCTTCATGGTTGAATTACTTGTCCGCGACAGTTACGACAAAGACATTTGGATACTTCGGAGTACGGAGCCGTTTGCTTTCTAGCAAAAGTGCGGGCCTATTCATGCGAAACGTACAATACGGTTTTGTTTTGCGTTCTCATTTCAAAACAAACGCTGCTTTCGCTTTCGTTCGGCGCCTAGATTATCCGTCTGTGATTATCGGCAATCAGGTTGAATATCCGCTGAATTCGCGAGAATATCCTATGAGAGTTACCTCGACAAATTTCACGTGTTACGACTCAATAATACCGGAGAATACGCAAAATTCGTGGGATTAACTATACGGGATATGATAACGTGAAACATGTACTAACGTAATGTTTTAGGACCGAGGCGTTCCCGCCAGAAGCACGAACACCACCGTAAAGATAACCGTAGTGGATAACGATGATCTTGATCCGAAGTTTACGCGGGACATCTACAAGGCGAAAATCTACGAATTCTATCCTATGCCGGTACATATACATATATAACTATGAACATTACGCTACACTCAAAGTGTCCCTTGGAATCTGAAATTTTTGGGAGTTCAGTTCTCCAACAAGTATTATAAGAAAATCTCCTTCCTTATTTAGAGGAAAATAGTTTAATTAAACATATAACTTGGGAAAAGAATTTTTTCTTCGACTTTACAGTCAAAGCTCAAGACATTTGATATTATATAATGATACACTCTGTTCAGCTCTTTAGAAATTGGTCTAAATATCGAGGAATGAGAAGAATGTAATTTTGTGTAATTTTATTCGTTTTGCAATATGTATGTTAAAGTTGAAAGTCATAATTTCCCGTCTCATAGTTTACTTGTTTGCGACAGTTACGACAAAGACATATGCAAATATATTTACAAAAGGAGAAAACAATGGTTATTTAATAATTGAATAATTTTCCCAACGCGACACACATTATTAACATTATTTAATATATTATAATATTAAATATTATATATAATATATTGTATTAATTTTAATTTTATTAAAATTAATATTATTATATATAAAGTTTATTAATATATTATAATATATTATTAAGTTTCGTAACGTGGCGTGGTTTTCCGCTTCGCAGCAGTATCCGATCTTCACGGAGATCAATTTCACCAGCCCGATCCACGCGGCTGACCGCGACCGGGATATAAACGTGCCGGTGCGATACGACATCATATCCGGCAACGAGCGTGGCTTCTTCCATCTCGACCCGAAGAACGGCTCGCTGTTCCTGAAACGGCCGATCGACCTCGATGCCGAGCGTAACTTGCCGGGCAACACGTTCAACCTGCAGATCCACGCGTCGCAGGTGGACAATCCGCTGAAGATGACGGTTGCGCGAGTCGAAGTGGAGGTGCTCGATCTCAACGACAATTTACCGCGATTCGAAGTCGATCTCTACAACATCAGCATCGTGGAGAACCTGCCGAACGGCTTCAGCGTGCTGCAGGTGGTCGCGCGCGACAAAGATCAGGGTGAGAACGGCGAGTTCGATTACAAGCTGCAGGACCCGTCGGGCGCGTTCTCCGTGGACGCGGAGTCCGGCTGGCTCACCGTCAAGGATCAGAGAGTGCTGGATCGCGAGAAGCGCGATCACCTGAAGATGAAGGTGTACGCGGTGGAACACAAACCGAGCGTGGTTGCGACAGGTGGGTCGGTGGCTGCGTCGAAGGGATCGTCCGTGGACGTCGAGGTCACCCTGCTCGACGCCAACGACAACAATCCGATCTTCGTGCCGAGTAATCTGTACGAGCTGGTGGCGAGAAGCGACGCGAAGGTCGGCACTGTGCTCGGGCAGGTGCACGCGATGGACGACGATCTGGGACCCAACGGGCTAGTTCGGTACAAGCTACAGAAGCCCGGCAACTCTACTTTGCGGAAGCCACCGTTTGCGGTGAACGAGCAAACGGGAGTGGTCATGGTATCGGAGAGTCCGATACTCGAAGGCAGGCATGCCATCTTCGTGGAGGCGGCTGATCAGCCGGCGAACCCCAGCGAGAGAAGATTCTCCTTGGCGGTGGTCACGGTGGACGTTTTCCGAGCGGATGGTGAGTGAAAGAGAGCGCAGGCAATGACCGCGACGAACGTAGAAAGCGGAGTTTTCGATCGGTCGAGCGGACAGACCAATTTGAATTTCAAGATTGCGTTCTCCTGACATCCCCCTCCGTTTTTGCTCGAATCCGAAACTTCCGTTGAGACGTTCGCGTTCTTCCAGGTCCAGATTCGTGGGAGCCAGATTTCGTCGGCGCGCCCTACGAGTTCTGGGTTGGTGCAAACGTGCCCGTAGGCACCAGCGTCGGGCAGATTCGCCTGAACGACGCCGTGAAAAGCAACGACCTCATCTACGATCTGCTGCACGGCTACGAGGACGGAGGTACGTATGTACGCGCGCGCGTGTGTGTCTGTTTGCATACATGATTCTCACGCGCGCGCCCCGCACGCGCGTTAATTAATCCGCGCGCATTGCCCGCGTAAATGAAAGGCTATGGGACTTCTTAACGATCTAATAAAACGCCGCGGTACATATGCGCGAGCGTGGCCTAATTTCAATACGCCGTCGCGGCCGGAAAACGCGGCGCGCAAAAATTGCCCGTATTACTCATGCAAATGCGTAACACATGCTGCATACATACATACATGCACGATGGGATTTCAGTTCCATTTGCCGTGGAGGAGCGCTCCGGTACGATAACGGTCGTGGAGGTGATCGAGCGCTTCGACCAGTCCATATACGATTTCGAGGCGGTCGTCAGCGACGAGAGGGAACTCACGCTCATCACGAACGTGTCGATCCACGTGGTGGATCCCAACGACGACCGCGGTATTTTCACCAAGTGAGTAAGAGACCTCTTCTCTTAGGCCTGTAGCAGTAGTTTCATTACTTGAAATGTTTCAAGTGAAATTTTCAGATTTGGATTTAGTCAATAGTTGTTATTTAAAATTTGTCCCAGGTGAGATAATCGAGTCGGAATTTAAACCTAGATTTGAATTCAATCATATGATGACATTATATCTTTAATTATGATTCAACTGAAAGATTCATGTCTAACTTAAAATTCAAATCTGGATAGCTCTCACTCGAGACAAGTTTCAAGCAACTATTAATACAGGCCTTAATGGCTCTAGTGACACTTTCAACCGCGAGTCGCGACTCGGTGAATGGGGACCAAGTGAAACGCGAGGTTTTTCCGCGTTAATCAACAGTCGATTCATCCGTCGAGTCAGAAGGAGAGGATTGGGCGATCGAGTCGTTGCGCGTCATCTATTCTTTTAGGCAAACGTCTTGAGCAGCGTCCCTCGATGTAACCCAGCCAAGGCGGGATCGATGCGCCAGATTTGCCGGTTGATTTTGCCGGGACGCGCCGAAAAGTCGAAGGTCCCGACTCGAGCGGACGGTGCCATTTGCTTATTCAAAAGTCGACGACCGTTGATTGCAGGGGAACGACCACCGCATCTCTGGTCTTCCACGTGAAGGAGAACGTTCCCGGCGCATTGATCGGTCAAGTGCTTCCGCACAATCGCACAACGGCGGCGGCGACTACGTCTGGCACTCGATTCCTTATCGTCAATCAGCAGGATGTGCCTGATGTCGCTATTACGGAGGATGGTTCTCTCTATGCTCCAGAGGGTCTGGATCGCGAGACGAGACAAAATTACAGCATCACCGTGATTGCCGAAAGTTCGCGGGGCGTTAGTGTGTTCCAGGTACATTATTGACGCGATTTCAACCCCGATTTATTTACCTCTTTTTTTCCATTTTTTATCCTTTTTTTAATTAAGGTAAAAGCACGAATGAACATTAATAACGCTGATAATTCTGAACTATTCTGCCTAATTCTGAATATTCTTACTGTTTTGGTCTTTAAATACGAATATTTAAACTCTATGATAAGAATATATATAAGAATATATACATTTAATAAGAATATATGTATATAAGAATATATATATTATATAAGAATATATAATAATATATATAATATATATAATATATATATATATACTATATATATATATTATATATATATATTATATATATATTATATATATATTATATAAGAATATATATATAAGAATATATACATATGTTCTACGTTGAAAGCTTAAATATTCGAATTTAAAATCAAAACAATAAGATATTCAGAGCTAGGTAACAGTATTATTGACGTTCAGACATTGAACATAACATGACGTTCAGACATGGTACATAAACGAAAAAAAGAGATATGATATACACAAACAGAAATATTTGTGAGCAACATATCTAATTAGTTTGTATCAGTTATCTTTGTGCGATGATAATGCGTATGATTGATTATGATTCAATCATACGCTTTGATGTATCAGCTATATCAATATAGTTGCGCGTGATCTGCTTGTGGCGATCGGAAATTAGTCGAACTGACATTTACCGTGAATATACTGATCAGACCAACTAGATATCATTACCGCTGCTATACCAGTAACTCAACAAAATTGCCCCATGGTTGCAGCAATCGCATAATTAATTGTTCGGTATCTTACTATTGAGCCTGGTTGGCATGGAAATATTTACGTGTGGGCCAACCATACTATTTTTTCCGTGTGTGCTTTCACCTTACGCGGTATCTCCGCACTTCCACTCCGTTTTTCCACGATATGAAAATTGCGACAATAAAATTGTCGACGACGGTACACCAATCGATTCGCATTGACGATCGCGACACACGCAGGTGCGAATCATCGTCGACGACGAGAACGACCACGCGCCGGAATTCACGCTATCCGCTTACGAAGGCCGGGTCATGGAGAACAGTCCCGCGGGAACGGAAATCACTCTGTCAAATCCGATTGTGGCGAGCGATAAAGACGAGGGCGAGAATCGAAATTTCGCCTTCGCTTTGCGCGGCGAGGGCAGCGGTCTGTTCCGGATCGACCCGATAACAGGCCATGTACACTTCGTGGGCGTCGACGACGGCACCCTAGATCGCGAGTCGAGGGCTAACTACGAGTTCCAAGTTACCGCCACCGACAACGGTACGTGTGTGTGTGTGTGTGTGTGTATATATCCGAGTTACACTTCCGCCAGCGCAAATATCGCGATTTATCTCCGCGCGGCTCCTCGTTCACGCCTCTGTTTGTCGCAGGTGGCCTCCGCTCGGAGAGCACGTTGAGGATAACGGTGCTCGACGAGAACGACAACGCGCCCAAGTTCATACGAATGGTGGTGCTGCCGGATCAGGGCGTGCGGGTGTCGCAGGAGCCGGACGCCGCGAAGGACGAGGCGGACGAGAACGTCCCGGCCAACGACTCGGCGGCCGGCGGACGGCGCTCGCCGCTGCTGCTGGTGCCGGAGAACACGACGATCGGCGCGCCGATAATCCGTCTGCTGGCGGACGACAAGGATGAGGGCGCGAACGCGGTGATAACGTACAGCCTCGGCAACGAGACGACCTCCGGCAGATCACGCCGCTACGACGCGACCAGTCGCCGTTACTTCCACCTTGACCCGCGCACGGCCGAGATATCGGTGGCTCGCAGCCTGCCGCCGGAGAAGGATTTCCGGCTGTTCGTCTTGGCGAAGGACCCCGGTGGCTTGTCCGATAACATCACCGTCAGGATCCACGTGACGGACGTGAACGACCACGCGCCCGTGTTCGACAAGTCCTGGTACACCTTCGACGTGGCTGAAGGCACGTACAACGAGATGACGGTCGGCGCGGTCCGCGCGCTCGACGCCGATTACGGCGAGAACGCCGAGCTCAGCTACGAGCTCGTCACCAGCCACGACGATTCGGGACTCGGCAACGCCTCGCGATCCTTCAACATCGACTCGTACGAGGGCGTGATACGAATCAGCGGCACGCTCGATCGGGAAAAAATCACGACTCATCGTCTCCTTGTGGTAGCCCGCGATCACGGCTCACCCGGCCTGAGCTCTTCTGTAGAGGTCGAGATCAACGTGTTGGACGTGAACGACAACGCGCCAATGTTCCATGGCTACGACGAGCTGGAGGAGGGCGCGACTCGTTTGCCGGTTTACCGAGTCTCCGTGTTGGAGAACAGCCCGATCGGCACGCAGGTGGCCAAAGTGTACGCTAACGATAGCGACTTCGCGGGCAACGGCAACGGGCTGATCCTCTTCGATCTGAGCTACCAGGACCGCGCGGAGAAGCAGTACTTCGCGGTAGACAGCAAGGAGGGCGTCGTCACGACGATTGCCAAGCTCGATTACGAGACCAAGAGGAGCCACCGCCTGATCGTCACCGCGAGCGACCTCGGCTCACCGATCAGTCTCACCTCCTCGGCGGTGGTTCTCGTCACGGTGCTGAACGTGGACGACGACGACGAGGACGCTGGCGGCCAGCAGGCGGACAACGAGTTACACAAGATGCCGGCCTTCCGGCATCGATACTACGAGCTGGAGGTCGACGAGAACGCCACGGTGCCGCTATTGGTCGCGCAGCTCGAGCTCGCCGAGGATTACCGCGGCGATCATATTAGGTACAGCGTCGTGGCCGATGGCTCCGACGGCAGAGATCACTTCTCCGTCGATCCTAAGAACGGTTCTCTCTATCTGATGACGGAGGTCGACCGCGAGACTCGGGAGCGTTACGAGGCGAAGGTCAGGGTCGACCGGCTCAAGATCGGTCGTGGTATGCCGGTGATGATCTACCCTGTGACCGGCGAGAGGCTGAACGGCCTGGCGTCTAACGAAGCCAGGATTGTCGTGAGGGTGAAGGACGTCAACGACAATGCACCAAGATTCAAGTCCAAAGGCAGGCCGATCCTCGCCGCTATACCCACTACCGCTCATTACGGTTACGAGGTCGTCAAAGTGGAGGTATATATGTATGAATGTATGTGTGTGTGAGTGTGTATGTATGTATATATGTATGTACGCGTGCGGATGCGACTCAAAGCGAGTCAGTTTAATCCATTTTGGTTTTTACTCCTTGCACTCCCGCGCTCTTTGCTCTCGCCTTTTCGCGCTGTCCCTCTCTTTCTCTCTCTCTCTCCCTTTGCTTTTCCCTCCCTTGATTTAATTTGCCGAGATTACTCTTCGCCGGCGATCTTTTTCACTGTACACGAAACCGCGACCATTAATCGCCACCTAACAGAAACGCATTAATGGGATGAGGAGCATTTGGAGCGGAAATTTGCTACGATCGCGGTCGAGAAGTTCGGCTTTAAAGGAATCGGTATCAGTTTTGGAGAGTGTGTCAGATAGTGCGCTGCGAGAACGAAACACTCGGAAGTTAAGCATTCTCCAGAGTGCGCGATTCGGCATCTCACTTTGGCGACTCGCACAGGCCGAGGATCCGGACCAGGGGATAAACGGCGAGATACGCTACCAGATACTTGGCCGGGAGGATGCGCCGCGTTTCGCCATCGACCCGCTCAGCGGCCAAGTGCGATCCGTGGCGAGTTTCGGACGCGACGCCGGACGCGTCTTCGGTTTCGACGTCAAGGCCACCGACAGGCAGGGCGCCGAGAGCGGACGCAGCAGCATCGCCAATGTTTTCGTAAGTTGCAAGCCCGCTATATTCTACACTCCCACACCTCGCGCGCGGTGTATCTTAATTGCTCGCTGTCCAGAGATAGCGCTCGGTCTAATTTCCCTGTCGGGGAAATGGGATGTTTCAAAAGACGGAAGCTCTATCTTGTTCTCCCTCTCTCTCTCTCTCTCTCCCTTTCCCTCCCTCCCTCTCTCTCTCACACACACATGCATACACATAACAACATGGGATGTCTCCTTTTTACAATTTTGCAAACACGATCTTCCTCGTATCTCCCTTGCTTTTTCTCTTTTGTGTCTGCTACAATCAGAGTCACACGAGTCACGAGCTGCAGGATTGCGGTGCCAGCTTGTCGCACAGAGCTGTTTAACAAATCGTTTAAAGTTCTTGCATCAGAACTCTGAAATTTCCTGCCTGAGTTAATAATTTCTGTGCCACTAGTATTTTCAAGTTCAGAACTGTCCTCTTTCAATATCTAATCAATTTGGAGTTAACCTTAGTCAACGAATCGTCAACATGACCAGCTCTTTTGGTACAAACAATTATTTTCTCTTTAGTGCAGGTTTCATTTAAGCGTTGTTGATTTTAATCTTGAAATTCCTTTTCTTTTTTCTTTTGCTCTTTACTACTCACTGCGTATCGCTGCGGTTATATCCTTCGCGTCGCTTATTATTATTACTATTATCATTGACTTTCTCTATCTACCGTTAAAAATCTTTTCTTATTATACAATACGCAGTGCTAATTAGTTGCTCACAGCTTTAGACTTCGAATTAGCCACTTTTCTTTTCAGCGTAATGTCTCACTCTTTATTCACTTATACATTACTTCTACACATCCGGTATTGCGTTTTATATTGTACGTCATCTTTCTTCAAAAATTTCTATAACTCTAGGAGACGTAGTCCCAAAAGTAAATAAATTCCTTTTTTCTCCCTTCCCCCTCTCTCTTTCTCTGAACTTTCTGCTCCTGCCTCATGTTTTTTGCTCTTCATTTCATTTAACCCGTAACAAGTACCATGGGGTCCCAGGGACCCCAACTAATTTTATTTTCGTGATAATTCCTAAACTATCCACTGTATGACGCTAATATCTTCAGTACCTTTCGAGTAACAGTTTTCAGTGTGACAGAAGAAAAGATCATCGAGTTATTTGTAAGTAGCTGTGAATTATATGCATTTGTTTTTCGTCTGGGGTCACAGTGACCCCACCGTTAACGTTACTTTTATGAAAATAATTTTCTTAATCTTCAGCTCAATATGACTCATTCTTCACGCAAAAGAGTAAAAGCTCTTGCCTTTCAGTTAGCAGAACTTAAAAGACGTCTTACAACTCAATATATTCATAAGTCGTGGCGTTTAATAATTTCATCTATTTTAAAAATTGAAGAAACTGAAAGATCTAAAATTATTTTGCCATCCAGAATAAGATGTAATAAATGTCCTAGAAGTAAAGATATGAAGTCCAAAGAAATATATGTTAGATGCAATGAACCAGTATGCACCAAATGTGCAAGCACTATCTATAACGATTGCATCTAAAAACCCTCTAAGATTTTAATATTGTATTTAATTTAACAATACTTGTTTATATTTTTTATATAATCTATAATTTGTAGATTTAGATTAAAACATTACATTTATTTCTTTTTCCGATTATTTGTCTTTCGGTGTATTTTATTTCAACACTGTCCATACTGTGTTCATTTTATAAACGTTAATCAGTTAACGTTTTCTTTTAGATTACTGAAAAACTGAGACTGTTATTATATATGTCTAGTTGTAATATTCGTAAAGTATTATTTTCGAACTATAAAGCGTTTTTATTTCTACTTTTTATTATCAATTAAAATGGCAAAAATTTATTGGAGTCCGCCGGACCTCATTGTACCTATAGCTTGACTAAAAAGGCATGGTACCTGTTACGGGTTAACACCTATCTTAGCAGTCTGTTCCGATATCCGGTATGCATCTCGCTCTCGAATTCGTAGGTGTACGTGTTGGATGATCAGAAACAGGTTGTCATGGTGATGGGACGGAAGCCTATTGAGATCGAGCCGCAACTTGAGAACATCACCATGTAAGTTCCGCGACAATCGCTGACGATCTGCGATCTGTACGTGATGTGTTTACGAGTTGTGTTTTGCAGCGCGTTGCAAAACGTCACCGGCCTGGACGTGAGAGTGCGGAAGCTGGAGCCACATATCGAGAGGAACCTGATCGACGCGGCCTCGTAAGTGATTCGCCGTACGACACTGTGGCGTGTTGTCCGAGAGAGAGACCGACGATCGCTCGTTGAATTTCAAAACATTGTTCCCCCTTTCCTTTTCAGCACCGACGTTTATCTGTACGCGATCGACCCTCATCTGAACGTGATGGTCGACATGGATACGTTGCACAGGTAACAAATCGTATTATCATCGGGGATCCCTTCATCTTATTATCCTAATACTTATCGGAGTGTTACTGTTCGCAACAGTTCCTTATTAATCAACGAGGTTCATCAAAGGAAGTTGATTCTTTCTTAACGAAAGCTTAATCAGTCGCGATTTGCTTTAATTGGCGTCATGTCACACGCGACTTTTCGTCGCTTCATTTTCGGGCTGTTTCAGCCTGGAGTTTCGTTAAGGAGAGATCATCTCAACTGAACCTGACTCGCGTTTCACAGAAATATTTATAGTTATCGAGATAAGCTTTAAAGTTATCGAGTTGCTGTTGAAAAGAGGTCGACGAGTTCTAACGACATATGCACGCTGAACCTCTCAGCGTTTTCAACAGTAAGAAGATGGACATAAAGCGCGAGCTGGACGAGTATCGCGTGCTGGACATCGCCGGCAACGCTCCGCGTAGAGGCAATCAACGTTACCTGCTATCAACTCTCGAGGTGGGCGTCGTGGTACTCGGCTGCGTCGTGTTCGTCGGCGCCCTAGTGACTGCTCTGTGCGTCGCCTGTGTTCGCCGCAACAAACGGTACGCGGAATACGGTTTTGCTCGCTCGCCATCTCACCTAACATCGGCTCAACGTTCATCCATGCCGCCGTACTAACTCTTGAACATATCGGGGAAGGATCTCTTTCTCTCTGTTTATTTCTCTCTTCCTTCATCGTATGCGTCCTCCTTCATTCTAAAACAGAAGGGACGAAATATTTATTTATTAACGCTCATTAACATATTACTTTTTGGCATTCGGTAGCTCAGGACCGATTTTTCAAGTAATAGTTTAAACTTACAAGAGACACTCAGGAAGTGTTACGTCTATTTTTCAAAGATTTGCATATTTTTTAAAAGTACTCACTCCTGAGACAAACTCAACGATATGTAATATTGCTGCGCGAAATAAGAACATTTAAAAATCAACTAAAAATCTGAGGTCAAAATTTAGTCAACAATGAAACTAATGACTGCTTATGAATATATATAATTTTATTTTCACCTGTTCAGGCGTGTAATATATCGTTGAACTTGTCTCAATAAGTGTTTTCCAAAAATATATACATTTTCGAAATATGTCAGCAGAATTAAAAGTTATATATTCGTAAGCTAAGTTTCATTATTGGTCAAATTTTGATTTATGGCCAATGTTTTCATTTCGCGCAGCAACATTATATCGTTGAGCTTGTCTCGGAGTGAATACTTTTCAAAAATATATATACATCCTTGAAAAGTGGACGTAAAACTTCGTGAGTATCTTGTTAGACTCAAGCTTAAACTCTGTTTTAACAAGGACTACGTTCAGCAGAGAAAGCTACTTTGCAACTGTCGTAAAATTCGTGAATCTAATTGGCGTATGTTCTCAAATTTAATCAAGATTAGGAGCATACAACAATCAGATTCACGAATTTAGCAACGATCGCAGAGCAGCTTTCTCTACTGAACGTAGCCCAGCTACGTGCTTGATATAGTCAAGCAGAATTTAAACTTAAAGTAAGTTTAAATTACTGTTGAAAAATTAGCGTCCTTAATCGTTCAAGGAAAGAGATAACGAGAAATAGGTCGCACGATAATGCAAACGAGAGATCGAGTCATATCGGTTGACTTCTCCGCGGCATTTAATCAGCATTATTCATTTAAAACACTGCTCTCTCTCTCTTTCTCTTTCTTCCTCTCTCTCTCTCTCTCTCTCTCTCTCTCTCTCTCTCTCTCGCTTCAACGTAATAAAGCGCGCAAATATCTTAAACGGCAGTGTCGAATTCCATACGTTAGTCGTAGACGACGAGAGAAGGCGATGTTCTCGACTGTCGGCCCTGTCGGATTCGCATTGACGGACCCCGCCGGCACCCTGCAAAAGCCGCCACTCTTTCCCACTTTCGTCGACGGCCTTCATTACGACCCCGAGCCCTTCTGCTCCGAAATGCCCAGGCGGCAAAGCATATGCGAGCACGGCAGAGCGTGTGGCAGCAACTGCGTCCGTTTTCACACGTAAGTTTCCATTTAGTGACTATTGTCGAACTGATGAGATCATGGTGGATGTTCGCGCGATTTCGGTGACGTCACGTATTTCGAATGTCGGAAGAGAAAAGGCCGCTATCGGTTCCTACGGTTTCTATCGAGGAATAGTTGAGTGTCTCGCAACATCGACGCCACCGCCACGGGGCTATTTTCAGGGTGGGCGGGGGTGGCAAACACGCGGTGAGGTCGACGGGTACGTTGAAAGGCCTCGAGGCATCTGCGACATCCTTGCATTCCAGCGGTCAGGATTCTGGCATCGTGGCGCGCGCGTCCTGCCATTGCAGTCACTCGTCCAGTCCTTCCAGCGGCGAGAGCAGCAAGTAAGTGGAAACTCCAGGTATACAAGTTCTCGTCGCTCAAACGCGCTCTACCCGCAGAGATCGATATGCGCATATGGCGCCGTTCGCGATTTCAATTTGAGAGCGACTTTTCGTGACGAAGTGCAGACGCAACAATGTCTGAATCGAAATTTTGATCCTACTTTTAGCCTTACTATTCTATCCAACACCTATTTTGACGTTAAAAAAAGTGGAAAAGGAAATTTCGGACATTATCAAAGTCAAAGTAGGAGTAAATTATATCATTAGAATTACCTACTTTGTGCTGAGTTCCTATTGAGTTGTAGAATTCAAGGTCTAACATCGAGCCAAAATTTCGACTCGGTTAGTTTGCGATAGATATCTCGAGCGCGATTGAGAAAAACGGTTCTCTTCATGCTAGCTAACCAGACGATCCAACAGACTCTTCGATTGATTTCAAATAAATTTTATTTTAAAGCTTCTTGGTCCCTTGACGCGGAACTCTCGACTAATGACGTCAGAAACAAGGAAATGCATGCCTAAAAATTTCTACAAAGTATGTCGAAATAAAAAGATACATTCATGGAAGGACAATCGATTGAACACACTCCTAAAGACCTCCAAATACTTTCCTTTTGCTCTAAAAATCAATGAATAATCATAAAATCAATATAACAAGACAGAGTAAGAAAGTGTAATAGTTAAAAATGAAGGTTGCATGTCATGTTAACTTTACGGTTATTTATTAGTCGTTAGAGGGAAAAGAAAGTATTTTGGAAGTGTACCTGACTGATTGCCAATGTCGTTTTTGGAATGTGCCTTCTTATTTCACACACTTTGCAGAGATTTTAGGCGTGCATCTCCTCGCTCTTCTGACGTCATGAATCAAAATGGCCGGCAAGGGGCCAGGAGCTCTAACAGAATTTGCATTTCGTATCTCATCTCTTTCCATCGATGTGACTCGCGCGAATCTTTCTTTTCCTCCTGCGGAATTTGTAGTGGCTACGAGGACTCGCTGAAATCCCTTCAGCGTCGTGAGAGAGCCAACGAGGTCTCGCGAGGGGGCCACGACACCTCGAGCGTGGTCGGAAGACGGGCGAATCTGGCTGCGAAGCGACGGCAACGATTCCACTCGTTCTCGAACGGCGAGACGGTTTATACCCACGAGATGACGTTACAGCGGGAGCAGCATTGCTGCGGCGGCACCGAGAAGAGGCGGAAAGCGGAGCACCGTCGCGCGCATTCCGAAGCGGAGAACAATATCACCGAGACGGTGATACACGAGCATCCGGGAACGGAAATCTCGTTAGGCAGCTCCCTGCCGAACACGTCGTCGACTCTTCATGGTAGGTGGACGTCGCTGGTAGAGCAGGGGGACGACAGGGGTCAAAGCCGGTATAATTTCGATGCGCTCGATTTTCAATTCCGCACACGCTGGTCCATCGATCTCGACGATTTATTTTATTTTCTCGACGATTAATTCTTTCTTCACGTCTGCGTCGGCCGTGCGTTCTCTCTTCTGCGTTTTCCAGCACAGGAGCGTAAATAAAATTCTTCTATATAGGTTAATGGTAGAGACTTCTACATTAACAAAACCCTTTGTCTTTGCGATTCGCTTGGACCTCGCGATTTGTCGACTTTGCAGAAATTGTCCGGCTTCAATCCCTCGTCACACTGAGAGAAAATAAAAGAAGCATCTATTCGATGGGTATTAATAGCATAATTCCTTGTGCTAATACACATACTTATATTGAAAAAAAACTTCTCTCAAATGACAAAATATAGATTTTCCAAACCAATCGTTGTTTCTCGTGAAGGCAATGATTTGTTCTGCTTAAACAAACGAATTTAAATTTAAGTATTACCCACCGAGTATATATTTTTCAGATATTTTTTCTCTCAGTGCGCCGACACGCTGGGGAGGGATGGAATCAAGCGTGTCGCGAATTGTCATTATATATCTTTTACAAACACTTTTCAATTCTATTCTTCGTCTTCCTCAATGAGATTGAACGATTCAAAAATTAGATTCGAACGATTAATGTTCGCAAGTACTTGAAAATTAAGCGAAAAAATCTGAAATTTTCAAGGGGTACCTTTTCATCCCTAAAAACATATTTTTGTCGAAACGACGAATATGTGCGTGATTGAATTCACGAATGCCACTCTTCTGCGAAGACGCAGACTCGAATATCCCGGATACTTCCTCGCTGAGCTTGATTCCATCCCTAATGGCGTACAATTGACGAAATTGAACGGGTAATCGATTCACAGGTGCATCAAGAACTAGCCACATGCTCTATTGATGGCACTAATCTGTAAAAAGATGGGAAATCTCCGCCGAGGGGCGCCGAGACATCGGCCGCGAAAATCTTCTCATTCGACAAACTTAATTTTCCCTTTGTAAACTCGCGTATAAATTAGCTTTGTACGCTGTGCGTCGCTCACGTCGTGTCATCCCGTTGCCAAAGCGCTCGCGCGCGTCGCGAGCCTCGAAAGAATCGCAGAATCACTCATTTCTGTAAATACACGGCACAGCTCTTCGGCATTCGGTCTTTCGCGCTCTTGAATTAATCGCGATAGATTAGATAGCGGCGCCGGTAACTGTCGCTAAGACTATTTATCGTGCAGATATTGACACGTGAGATGTAAATGTTTGTGTATGATATATTGATGTATTGAGTAACTGGCGTTGTAGATTATGTACAGAGATATATTTTGTTTATATGTTTACACACACACACACACATACACACACACATATATATACACACAGATATTTTTCGGCGGACTATAATCCCGATCATGTTAGCTATTCAACCTTTGTACGTAATATGTGTGTACGTCTGTAGAATGTATAATAAAGTGTAACATAGTGTAATTTATATCCTAGACTGGCGCGTGTTTCTCGTCGATTGACGCGCTGCGGATCGTCAAAAGAAAGGAGAGACGCAAATATAATGAAAAATACATCAATCTCCTCAGTACATTCTGTAGGAATTGTTTTCGCTACGTATAATATACGCATGGCTACGTTCACATGTGCGATTTGGATTCTTCGGGCGTCTTCTTACGAGAGTGCAACTGCAAATTGCATCACGGTCGCCTAAAATGAGATCTCCCGAGGATCGAGAAAGAAAGTTTGTGGTTTAATTAGCGCGCGTTCTTCGCGTAGTTGCACTTTTCGCAATCTATTAAAATTTGCCGCTATACATGCATTCGTGTGTCACACGAGCAGTGACCTTCAGAAACACGTCGGTGTCGTCGACAACCCGTAATTCCTCGGAGAATGCTCCGACATTCAAGGAATCCCTCTTTCCTTCCTCCCTCGTCTGTCTCTTTCTCTCTTAACGCGATTAAATCAGCGTGGGTGTTTTAATTACGATAAATCGAATTCGCGCCGGCGCATTATTGATCTCTCTTCTTAAAAGGGAGATGATAGCGGCGCAATTAGGAGGAGGAACATCGGTGTAAATTAATGATAATACTCCGCCAGCCGGAGCGCAAAGTCGCTTCTGATTGCCTTTTTATTACGATCGACTGCAGATGATGAACGATTGTCTGGCCGTTCCCGTTTTTAAAGCGACGCGACAAAAACCGCTGCATTGTCTTGCGCCGCGCCAACAGCCGATACTGTCTATATAAAGGACGTTGTAGGGGCACTTTTTTAAGCAATTAAAATATTATTAGATGTTTTGTTAGGTGTGATCACAATCGCGGCGGTCCGGACATCAGAATGAATGGAACTTAATCAGTTTCTTCCGCGTGCGTGAAGTTGGCACCTCATTTTTTAGCACCGCAAGTTTTGACATGAGTTCCATTTGCACCCACAATAGTTCTATAGTTCCTGATAGGTTATAGCAATAGTTCCGTCGAATTAATAAAAAAAATGAATTTTTTAAAATATGAGGTGCCAACTTACCACGGCATCGCAACATTAAAAAAAAATTATTTTGATAATTTCATTTTACAGTTCTCGAAATGCTCTATAGTTCCTGATATGTTTTAGCAAGAGTTCCGGCCTCTAACTATTTTTAAACAATTTTTAAACTTGAGTACAAGAACCGCATTACAAGAGT